ATACATTTTCTGAGAGTGTTTCAAAGACATGATGTTAACTATGTTTTCACGAGACCGGATATCAATTCGCCTATTAACGGGGCTGCGATTGCTAGCAACGGAAGAAATCCTCCACTCTGCGTGCTGAGAAGTTTTCGTTTTTTATTAACCCCAATTTTTTTATCAGCCTTCTGGCTGATAAAAAACGAATGGTTTTTTTTACGCTTCTTTAAGGTTTTAAACTGAGCAGGTGAGAGAGGAATATTGCCTTTCAGAACGTTCAGAGCTAGTTCGCAAATTGAGTTTATGAAATCCGTGGAGCCGCGCATCAATATCTCTCTCCTCTTTGGAGTTGTTAAATTCGTAAGCGCCCTGAGCAAATGCGCGTTTCTTTTTAATCGTGCAGACGTGCTGAATAAAAAATAAATAAAAAAATAAACTAGTTTATTTTATTTTAAGCCTTCCTGGGAATATAAACCACAGTATTTTTATCATGTAGAAATATCCCCGTATGGAGCCGCAGCTCATCTGGACAAGCCGATGTTAAATCTATCAATGCATACCCATAAGCGCTGGAGGCCGTCGTGTTCTGAAGGCATTCCAGAAAAAACATTTGTTGTTTTGGAAACATTTGTCGTGCTAAGACCGCGGCCTGCAGTTTRTCTCGCGGGTTTTTAAATAACACGATATAATTTGAACTGATTGAAACTGATTGTTCTGCTGTGTTTACCCTGCTGGAAAATGTTTTGCGTAAGAAAAAAATACTCTCATATTTCTGTGATGGCGATACTGTGTAAATATTTTAACAACTTCCAAATTATCCGTTGCCTGCAATATAACATCGTCTAAAATCACTAAATGTGATTTATTAAAAGGAAATAATACAGGATCTTCAAAAGAATCAGGCCAGTCTTTGAAAAATTTAATGTTTTTATTCACTTTCATCAGATCATCAAAAATCGATATGTGTCCTACACCCATACAATATTTTCAGGCACATTATTTAAAATACTCTGACAATTTTCTAAAACATTTTTACAAAATAAGACTTGCCACATCCGCTGGGTCCTGCGAGGATGCAGCTGAATGGGGTCTTGAGTCTGGGGTCAAATTACACCTGTTTCAGTTGCATGAGTGACATTGTTTATTTTTTTTGTTTTTATTTTACATCAATAACCGAAAGGCAATGTTGTTCCGTTACTAAATAATCTACGTTTATCGTAAACTACTTTGAACGTCTTTTAAAAGTTTGAAGTTCTGAGCAGAAAACCTTTCTTGTCACGTGCTATGTTCTGCTGCGGAATTTCAACATGACAGCTTTCGTCTCCAGCCAGAAACCCATCCACCAGCTGACTGATTCCGTGAAAATTGACTTTTGTGCAGGATTCACGAGTCTGCGTGATCCCCTTCACGTGAAATACGACTTTCCCATGTCTCGTTTTATACACATACGATTTTGGACCTGTAGACGCAAATTCTTGKATTGAATCTCCTGGAGAAAGTTCACTCATAAGATCGCCTAAATAATTTCCCACCAGTAACGTTTCTTCACCTGGTTTTATGGTATAAATAAGCGAGTCCGTGTCCATATACAACACTCGTGGTCCTAATTTCTGGAGAGAATTCAGCAGCTTGAGGCGCGCAAGCGCTGTGGTGAACGCGGCTACGAAAACGTCTGTCCTATTCGGAGGACAAATGCAGCTTTTATTAAAACTCCACTGGATCAGAACCGCTTCGGTGTACAGAAAGTGAAAATAGGAAACTTTATATTTTCCTGAAAACAGAAAGTCAAACAGCTGATTGGGTTCTTTCACAATCACGGTCTGTGTTTGATTGCTTCTCTGCGCAAACTTTCCCCAGAAGCTATTTAGACATAATTTTGCAACCTGCCTTCTCGCGGGGTTCTGTTGAATTTTTTCACGGTCCAGTTGGATGCCCTGATGCGTGAAATAATCGCGAATGTATTTCTGTTTGCCCTCCTCATCCGTTACTTCCGGGGGGAATCTGGTGCTTTCTTGTTTGTTTTTCAGAAACCGATAAATATATTCGATAAAGAGTTTGTCACTCCTCTGATCGAAATGCCAGACTTGTGTAATCTTTAGCACTCTGTAGCCTGCGGGCAGGTAGGCGTTAAACTCGACTGTAATCCAGACACCTGTGAGCACTCTCTGCTGCTGGCTGTAAAAACAGGACGTGTGTTGATTGTTTGTTTCCGCGCAAGTCCTACAGAGAGTGAACACCAGCTTGCCACGCGACGTCTTATAAGGCAGGACCGGGAAAAATAATTTTCTCGGTGGCTCTACCGTTGCCATGATGAAACCGAAATAGTTTTCAGGTTCATCAAAATCTCTGTAGATTATTTTAGGGTGTCCTAACGGATAAACCCCCTCAGTGTTCACGCTGGGGTACAGAGAACAGAAGTCGACATATTCCACTGTCTCGTCAGGCTGCGCGCTGAAAAGCAGCCTGACCGCGCAGGTGCGCCCCCCACATAAAGCCTCGCGAGGGCGTAACGGTTCAGGCGCGTCGTAATTCTGCAGGAACTGACCGGGTGCAAGGTCTGATTTTTTTCATATTTTCCCACTCATGTTCCCAGATTACTTCTACTTTTAGTTTGTGCTCGTTTTTCAAAGCGCACAGTTTCTCGTTCGTGGCTTCGTAGATCGTTTCGAACGGAACGCGTCTTAACGGACACTCAGACTGTGGCGCAAAATGTTTTGGACAACCGTGAAAAAAACACCCCAGGAATTCAAAGGCCGTGTGCACCCCTCCCACCTGCGCAAAACCATCCACAAAGTACTTTCCCACTTTTTTCTCCCGCATTAAGCGCGTGAGCAATAYGTATTTTTCTGCTGTACGCGATCCACTCCAGCCATTGAATGGAAACGTTTGAAAACGTTTTATGATGCATGTAGTCCGTGGGGCTAGGAATGGCCAGCATGTAAGGCTTAAGAAAGTTACTCTGATAAACTCTGATGCGGCTGTACAGAGGTCTACGGAATTTTAACAGGACGTCTCTGACGCAGTCCAGCCCATAGGAACACCAGACATTTCCTGTCACGCTCTTTGTGCACACTATAAACAAGACGTGTATTTTTTCCGAATTCAGAAAGGTTTCGAAATCGTAAAATATTATTTTACTGTGCAGATCTTTATCACACGAGGCGGGTTGTATGTAACACGAGTGATTGCCACGAATTACATCACATCCTGGATCTAGCTTTTCACAACAGATTGGGCATTTTCGAGAAGTGCATTTGTGACTTTGGGCATGCCCCGTTAACGGGACTCGGTAAATCAGATTACAATCGAGACATTTCTTGTAAAGTTGACACTGACGGACAATTTTTTTAACCACGAGTCTTTCCATGGGGATCAGATGATTCTGAAAACAGGTTGCATTGCGGCAGGTTCTGTGACATAGGTGACATTTAACCAGTTCTGCTTCGCGCAGAACGCACGAGTCGTGATTACACAGCCTGCAAAAGCCTTCGCAACGGTGCGTGTGATGGTTTTCAAAAGATGTGAAGCAGAAATAGCAAAAGTTGTTCACACCTAGGAAACCTTTTATATTTTTCACCCCGTAAAAATGATTGTTCATTAAAAACAGAAATACCGCTCTGCTGCGGTCTGAGAAGTCTGTTTCAAATTTAGTCAGCGCTGCGTCTGGGGAAGGTCTGTAAAAAACAACAACTTTCCTTTTTATCAGATGTTCAAATTTAATCATGTCAGATAATGCGACAGGTGTGTGAAATGAGAACCCGAGCTGGGCGTGCCAATGCAAAGCAGTTTGTAAAGCCTGCGCGTCTGCAAACGTGGGGTTACACACTTGAGCTAAGCTCAGGGAAAAACATATTTTATTTTCCTGATTTTCAACGATGTAAAGATGTTGTCTCTTTTCATGCAACAGTTCGACATCCAGAGTCCTGCTGAGTATATGTTTTGAACCAACCCCACCTCTCTGGTTTCTGATAATTTGAACGGTAAATTCTAACGTTCCGTTCGCTTCAATTTGCGTGTTTGATTGAATTAATTCATCCAGAAAATCAGCGAAATGTTCAGAAATTTCACGCTCATCTTCTTCTCCTCCTCCTACAGCGAAAGCKATGTGATGCGCTAACGCTGAGCCTTCTCCTGAAAGCTCCAATTGAACAAAATCACACCTCTCCATTAACGATGCGCTTCTGTCAGCCAAGTCTGACAAAATRTTCATCACTTGGGTATAGAAATCGGCCAGACTCGGAGGCTCGTCAGATTGGGGAATGAAGAGTCGTCTCTAGGTTTCGTAATTATTAAATCTTTCGCGAGATATTTCATGTTGATCTGGACTGGTTGAAGGTCCTGGAGCTGGAGAGGAGGGAGGTGAAGGAGCGTGAATCCCCGCACCGTACTGGATTGCGCTGTGGCTGTGAGGAACCGAGTTTGATGAAGCAGCCTCCGTAGTTGGAGAGGAGACAGGGCGCGGAGAAGGATCGGGGGTTGCGGGTGGATACCTGGGTCTTGTTCGCGGTTTTGTTCTGGGGAGCACGTGATTTGTAACGCTAATAATGCATCATCTAAAATACTAAATAAATCAGGGTGCGTTGATTGCCTCGTGTCGGGTGTGCTATTTTGAGCACTTTCCTCAGCAGCACCTGCAGCCGCAGAAGCCGCAGCATTTCTAAGTTCAGTTAACGAATTATTGAATGCGTTAACAAGTAAACAGATTGGAGTCTGGTCCAGATTTGTGCTATGAATTTGAAGAGTTTCGAAGCGGTCGTGATCAGACTGTTGTTGTTGTCCCACAATTTCGCCACGTAATGCTTGGATTAGATTTTCTGTCTGATTTGGCAAACCTGGGGGTGAATTCTGCTTAGCGTTGTTTAAAACATTTTGTAACGATTGACTCAGAACAGAAATGTCATTAGCATCAGAGGTTGACGGAGAGTTCTGTTGAATAAGATTTTGTAAAGCCTGTTCTAACTCGTGAAAATAATTTATTTCAGCATGATCAGTATGATATGACAAACTAGACATTTTTTCAGCTATTTTATTCCTCAAACAATCTTATGCAGAGTTCAGTTAAATGCAGGATGGTTGAAGGCAGTGACTCCTCAATTCATCGAAGATGGACGAATGATCTAAAAATAAATAAAAAATAATAAAAAATAACTTTCCTAATAAAAAAAATGCGTGTGTGTCAGTGTTGAAAAATTTAAAATATACTCACTTCTTCTTCTTCTTGACAGATACCCGCGCGGGCCAGCTCTGCGTCGGAGAGCCCTCTCGATCCTGCTCCTTCTCACACGAAGAGTGGGTACTATATAGGCCTGGTTAGGATTCAGTCGGACCGCGTCTGTCTGTGTAGGTAACGGATGGTTTGGATCGGTCAGGTCAGGCGTCGTGGCGGGGAATGGATCGGGCTGAACCACACRGAAAGCTGCTTTTGATTTTTTATAAAAAGAAAAAAATAATTAAAACAATCAATAAAAATAATATATATACACAGATAATTTCTACAATCTTACACAACCCACCTGGATCTTCAGAGCTCCAAAGATTCTGAACAGGACTTGTACCCGGGTCTGACTGAAACCCCTCCCCTTGGAAAGTTACTGCATTTTTATAAAAATGAATAAATTAAACACAATACAAATAAAAATAATTCACGTACAGAGAGTGTAAATCTTACGTAGTTCATCTGGCAAATTTAAATCATCCCATTCTAGAAAAAAAAACTTTTTTAGAACTAGACAACTTTTTAAAAATTGAATAAAAGCTCATTCTCACCATTTTCAGTAGCTTTATCGAGTCCGATTAAAGGCATTCTTCTTCTTCATCAAAAAAACACAGTTTTTGAAACTCAAAATAACTTTTTGCTCTGAATGTTTCGAGGGTCAAGCAGAGACTGACACAGAGAGAGAGAGAGAGGGAGAGAGAGAGAGAGAGAGACAGAGAGAGAGAGAGAAAGAGGAGGGATCTGATTGGCTGAGGGGTGGGGTCTAACGCCTAACCCTAACCGCTGATTGGACGATGGGTCACATTGATGGAAACTTTTAACACTTCTGGCAGTTATCAGGGAGGGGAGGGTGACAGACAGGTGGGCCCTGGAAGGAGGGTTGCAATAGACCTAACATCTGTTCAAAACAGGATGTTCGCGGTCAAGAGGGGAGGGTGAACAGACAGGCGGGCTGTGGACATCTGTTCAAAAACAGGATGTTTACGGTCAAGGCTTACAGTAAATCGAGGTGGGAAAKAGGGAGGGTAGGATTACGGTAAATGAAGGGGGAAAGAGGGTGGGGTAAGGTTACGGTAAGTCAAGGGGGGACTGAGAGTGGGGGACGATTACGGTAAATCAAAAGAGGAAGTCACGAGCGGAAGTTGACCATATATGGAAGTCCCCCGAGGAAGGAGGGGCCGGAAGTTGACCATATGCGGAAGTCCCGCCCTAAAGGGGCGGGGCACCTGTCACTTTTCGTGTGACGTCATTTGACGAWTACCCATGTGTATTATCTCTTTTGTCCATTCATCTTTGCATGGAAGAGATATCTACTGAAAGCAAGAAGAACCCGTGAATTTACTTATAGCTTTCGTTATAAGAAGTGTAGGTTGTACCCCTACAGGTGTTTCAGTTTCATTGTGTAGCCCCTGTATACTCCTGCTCTCAAAATGAAAATGTACTGATTTAAGTCAGGATAAATCTTTCATACTGGGGAGCAAACAGCATCATGAAGTCCAAAGAACACACCAGACAGGTGGAGAAGTTTAAAGCAGGCTATAAAAAGATTTCCCAAGCTTTGAACATCTCATGGAGCACAGTTCAATCCATCTGGAAATGGAAAGAGTATGACACAACTGTGGCTGTGTCTCAATTCATGGGCTAGATCCTCATGAGCAGCTGTGCCACATGGGCCACATCTTTCCCAGTCCTGGTAGGCTGCAGTGAAATGAGACGATCTAGCCTTCACTTGACGTAAGTTTGCGTGACCACGTGCTACCCCATTACCATGATGATCATTTCATCTCAAGACTTAAAATGCGTTGAGACATGTATTTACACGTCTTTTTACTGGAAGAATAACTTCACAGTTAAAACGTTACATGTAAATAAATAAACAAACATTAATATTTTGGGTTAGGTCCAGTATCAGTGCTTGTAGTTGCATTTTATTTAACATTTTATTGCAGCATAAATTTCATCATCAGTTGTTAAACCTACATAAAAAAAAACAAATTCTTCAGTCTGTGATGCATTTCCAAACTACACCGACTTGTTAGAAAAAAAACTCCATCATCTTTGTTTTTCTGTTTATTTTGCTGCTCGCACATTGAATCCTGGGATATCCTCTTCCAGTGAGGATACACAAATGCATCCTTGGGTTTCGACATTTTGTGAGCCGCATTCCTCGGCTGCATGAGGAGGAGCCTTCAAATTGGGACAGCACTCGTCGAGGGGCAGTGACGGCCGACAAATGTGCATTCACGAGGATGCAGCCCATGAATTGAAACAGCCTGTAAACCTACCAAGACAAGGTCGTCCTCCTAAACATACAGGCCAAACAAGGAGAACACTGATAGAGATACAGCCAAAAGGCCTTAGATAAGTGAAAGTTTAAAAGGTTGTAAGGATGACAGGACTAAGGGGCTTAGGTGGTGGGAGATTTTAAATAAAGAAAGACGGTTCTAGGAGACTTGTTCTTTTTTAAAATGACTCTCTTTCTCCAGGGGGACACACAGCTCTGACTGCTTCTTCACACCAGCAGCCCTGAACATGTAAACTTACCACAACCTCTAAACCACACTCACCAATCCCCTGTCAAAACACACACACACACACACACACACACACACACACACGCACGCACGCA